CCTCTCCTTTTCCTGGGGACCCCTTACAGGATGACACCCGATTCGGGCTGCGACCTCGGTGACCCTTGACAGCATCCTGCTAAGGGAGACCTCACCCAGAGGGTCGCTATTGTACGGTTTCACTCATTGTCGGTGAGAACGGGCAGATTCGGGCACAGAAGACAGAGTAAGCGGGCGCAGGGCCCGGGCAGGCAGAGCCAGCTCCTACCGGGCTCAGAGTTTCCATCTGGGCGGGGCTGCACCAGCTGAATTGTACCCTGAAAAGTAGGCAAAACGGCAAACTTTGGGTCAGACAATGCATTTTGTACTGGGAGCCAGAGCCTAAATGAGGTAAAATCAAACGCCTTTCGCTCCCGCTCCCGGGCCACACAGCGAGGAGCATGGCTGGGCGGCAGACCCCACCCCGCCGCACCCCGACCCCCCCCTGTGCCCCCTGCCAGCCTCTGGGCGCTTTGTCTCACTGGCGGGATGACCGCCCCCCTCCCCTCCTGCTGCAGACAGGCATCTGGGGAAGGGCGGGGGTGCAGTTCTTCCACCCACACACACTTTCTCGAGGTCCCGTGGCTTTCTCCAGCCGCCTGCAAACCTGTGTCTCCGCCTGCTCCTGGGCTCATGGCTTCTGGAATTAGCTCCCAGAGGCCCCTGGCCAGTTCCAGGGCACCCTCAGGAAGGGAGGGCTCTGAACTTTAGGAGGACACAGAACTTCCCACTTGGGGCCCAAGGAGGTAACTCCAGGAGCTTCCTCTCTGGCCCCGGAAGTGGGGCTTGGTACCCAAAAAGAGGAAGCCAGTGGGGTCTTAAAAAGGGGGTGGCAGTTGGTGTGTGGAATTTGCACCCAGATTTGGCTGCCACCTGAGAGGGTAAGTGACTGCTGTGCGGCCCTCCAGCCGGCTTCCCGCTGGGTCCCGCTGTGGGCCCCAGGACTCCAGACCCCACCTGCCCCGGCCTGAGCGGCTCCTGGCTTCCTCTCTCAGCACCTGCAGGATGAAGGCGCTCTTCTTCCTCCTCCTGCTGCTGGGCCTCGGGCTCCCTGCCCACGCCGACCAGTGCGTGGTGGACGACTCCATCGCCCAGAAGGTCCAGGAAGGCATTAGCTCCCTAAGTGAGGACCCCCATCTCCTCTAAGTCGAGACTTGGGGACCAAGCCAGACCTGCCCCTCCTGAGGGGAAATCTCAACCCCAGCCCCAGCCACACCTCAACCTCCCGGAAACCTCAAACTGACCCAGCCCCCCCTCCATGGCCTGCACCCGCCTCCTGACCCCATGCAGCTCCTTCACTTCCCTCCACGCCCCTGGAGGGAGTCAGCTCCCTGTCACCTGGGTGCTCCCTCCACCATGGCCTGGGCCCCCACCCTTCTTCAGGGGGTTTTTCTCCAAGCCCGGGGCTCTGGGCAGCAGGAGAGGGGGACAGGGCGGCCTCACAGCCCTCACTGCCCCCCTCGCAGCTAGAGAAACTAACCTAAGGTCCGCGAGCCTGGAGTGCCGGAGTGTTACCTCCAGGGGGGGTGTGGCAGCCTGCCCCGGAGGTGAGTAGTCCCCAGCTCCAGCCTCCAGGGGCCTGGGACCACCCCATTGGGCCTCTGCCTCCAGGGTCGTGGCTCCCAGCGACAGGCCTTTGAGTCATGCGTACACCTCCTGCCCTTCCCCTGCCCCTCTCCATGCTCCAAGTCCTCAGGATTCCGTGTCCGCTCCCCGCTGCCCCCCTCCCCCAACATCCCCCTGCGTCCCCCGTAGGCTTCGTTGTCACGGGCTGCGCGTGTGGCTCTGGCTGCGGCTCGTGGGACGTGCCCGCCGAGACCACGTGCCACTGCCAGTGCCGGGGCATGGACTGGACCACGGCACGCTGCTGTCGCCTGCAGGTGTCCCTCTGAGACGCCCACGGTGGGGTGGGGTGCGGGGGTGGTGTGGAGGCTGGGGGGGAGCGGGCCTCGGGGGCTGGGCTGCAAATAAAGCCTGGACAAGCTGGCGGGTGGTGGCTTCTGCTTCTCTTGGGGACCCCGTGTGTTGGTGGGGCCGGTGCCGGGGTGGCTGGGCTGGCGGCTGCACAAAATGGGGCCTGTAGGCCAGGCAGGCAGGTGGCCAGGGCGCGTCCGGCCCGGCGCCCCATGCTGTCCTCCTCTGCTCAGAACAGGGGTGACCCTCTAAGGCACCCACGCCCGCGGCTCATGACCTCCCTCGCCAGCGGAAGTGAGGCCACCTCCAGGCCACCTAGGACCCCAGGGGCTCCCAGGAAGCTTCTGGGCTGTTCTCCCTCACCCCTCCCCCCAGTTTTCATGCCGGGTCCAGGTCCAGATAGGTCAGGGACCTTCACCCCAAGCTGCTCACCCCAGGGCCCCCAGCACCCCCCAGGGCAGGGTGGGGCGTCAGCCCCATCCCAGAGCCCAGACTCTATCCTTCACAGCCCCGCCCCGCCTCCAGGAAGGGCCCCAAGGCCCAGGGCGCCCCGCCTCCAGGAAGGGCCCCAAGGCCTAGGGGATGCGGGCGCAGGGCAGGGAGGAGCTTCTCCCTCGCAGCCGGCACCTTCACACAGGCAGGTGCAGGTCTGGCACCCCTGGTGACGGCCAGGGCCCCCTTTGGGAATACGGGGACCAGAGCGCACAGGGCAGGGCCTGGTTTGCTCTTCAGGGTAGCCCAGCTCTCAGGACAGAGCACGTGCGTGCACCCCCAGCGCTCACATTGCATGTGCACAGTTACACGCGGCCCCGCCGACACGCGCGTCACAGCAGCGCAGCCGCAGCCACGGCGGCCGCAGCGGGGTGTGCACAGGGTGCGGGTGCCCAGCCAGATGCGCAGCTTCCCACGTTACTCCGCACCCCACTGGGACCACACACTGGGACGACGCTGGTCCAAGTCTGGACTCAAACGCCTAGAAGGCAGCAACCCCACCCCCCCGATTCTGTACCCCCTTTCCTTGGGGACACACTCCCAGCTCATTCAGGATCCTGTTCCCGGGAGTCTTAAAACCCACCCGAGAGGGCTGCAGACACAGACTTGGTGTCCAGCCTGGAAAGGCATCGGGACTCCCACAGCCCCACCCCCCCCACCGGGCAGCACCAGGCAACCCAGTCTGGAGAATGGGCGGGACTCCTCAGGTCGGGACGCCCTGCCCACTGCCACGCCCCCTCTGTGGGCCCTGCCTGAGGCCCCGCCCCTGTGCTCCTGGGCCTTGAGCTCAGGTCCAGGCCGCTCACTGAACCCACCCAGCTCCCAGCCCAGGGACCCCCTTCCAGAGTCCCCCCAGCCCTCTGCGGCTGTGGGTTGGGGTGGGGGTACTGAGTCAGACGTGTCCGGGCTGCAGCGAGGGAGTGGAGCACCTTGCCCGG